TTGCGTTTGTTATCAGTTTTCTTTCACCTCACTGAACAAACAGTATGGTACACCCCAGGCGAAAGAAACAGTTAGGCAATACTTTAGACGATCTTACGATCTCACCACCTCCTTTTTCTAATCCATCAACAGAGCAAATCAATATTCCAACGCCAGGATCAACAAAAGCAGCATTTACCTATTGGATTCAGGGGGACAGTACTTGTAAGCTTTCCTGGCACAAAATTCATCCCGAAACGTGACTTTTCTTTTCGCTCATCTCTTTTCTCCTTTACGTTTTTTCAACAAAGCCGCGTGAGTGCAGGACCGGCCCTTCACGCGTCAGCTTTCAGTATGGTTTTCTATGGGCTTGCGCGCGTGGGGCCGGGAGGTTCATCTGAAAATATGAACTTATTGACTGAGTGGGAGGGCCGGGCGGGAAAATATTTGTCTCGAGATCATGAAGTTCGGACCGAGCGCAGCGAGGTCCGTGCCTCATGACCGAGATCCAAACTCAGTCAATAAGCAATTTATCCTGTGACTAATAAGTGTTGAAAATTTCAACCTAATTAGGGCGCAATAAATGGACGCACGCAGCCGCACGAACACAAAAAGTATTCTGCAATTTATTAATTTTTTCAAGTCAGAACAAGAAACTCCCAATTTCTTGAAAACGCGACTTTTTTTCTCATTTCTGTTTTCTTTTAAGTTTTTGCAATAAAGTGCCGTGAGGGCAGCAGAACCAAACGGCTTTTCCGAACCAGCTCATGTCAACCCTCCAGCCCTGCACAAGTCAGCTTTTACGGTGGTTTTCAATGGGATTACGCAAGCGGGGCATGACGGGTCATATGATAATTTTCGTTATGTTTAAAATACATATTTCAGTCTCAAATACATATTTCATAAAATACATATTTGAGACTTAGTTCTTTGGATATTTCTTTAATGTTCTTTGATTGGCCTAGAGATGGGACAACAGACACAACAAGGACAGTTCATTTCGGCGTTCCAACAAAACACCAGAGGGTTAGTACTGCATTTTTACCCCTGCAAGCATTGTTTTAATTGCTTTCCTATCAATGTAGGATAAACATCGTAGGCTAACATAGCAAGTTCTCTGACAACCTAGGAGCCAGGACATGCGGTCGCTTAGTGCAAGAAAAGCCGTGTATAAGTCAATTATGACCGAGCCTGGAGTCCGACTCAGTTATGGCGTTGCATCCGTGAACTTCATTTTAGGGCAAATTTGTTGAACTTTATCATTGCTCGAATAACTGCTATTATTATAATTATAATTATTATTATCATTATCATTACCATCGTAATTACCACTACCATTCTAACCATATATACCCCGTCAGAAACATGTTTGTTTCCTATGACTAAGATAATGAATGATGCCACTTTCAGGATTGCTACACGAGAGTTTTAAAGGGACATATTGACATTGCCAGTGCAGTGTTTCCCAATGATACGTATGGTGAGAAATGTTCATCTCTTTATTAATTGCGATCAGATTCTACTGCATCAGGTGATCTTATTTTAGATGCTGATTGCTCATATTTCAAAAGGTAACGTGAGGGGACTTGTCACTTCTTTTACATGTCAAATATAAGACATGGAAAGTTTCCAAGATGATGATTATCGTTTGATGATGATCGTTTAATTCCATACTCTCGTAGCTAAGGCTGAATTACAGTATGGGTCAGTATTACATAGGTACAACATTAAATATATATATATATATATATATATATATATATATAGTGTGACTTGATTTTCGTAGAACAGTGCTCAATACATAGACTGTAGAGCGAAGCATATATTGTGGGGGGAAAAAGACAAGTAAACTACAAGTTCATCCCTACAAGCCTGTTTCGTGGTCGCCCACTCATCATTTAATGAGAATAAACTTTTAATGATTTAATGAGAATTTAATGGGATTTAATGAGAATAAACTTTACCATTGCTTATATACAATATAATTTGCATGATCTAACTAGTCTAATTTATGCAGCGCGAAATTGACAGTTTAGTTGTTGCGTAGGAGGGCTTTGCTTCTGTGGCGGCATGAAGACACGAGTTCATTACGTTTGTTTAGTGTTGATAGTTCGGGCCGGCAGATGATTAGGAATTTTTCTTTGAGGCAGAGGTTACATCTTTTAGTTGAGCTGTTATACGGTGAGTGCGATGAGAGAATGCGCCAGGAAATAAAGTGATCGATGTTGTTGTCTTTGAGGGTCCAGATGTGCTTGCTGAGTTCGGTAGAGTTTCTGTGTTTAGCGTGGCGGAATGATGCGGTGTGGTTTCTGTATCTTGTTTTGAAGTCATTCTCTGTGAGTCCGATGTACGTTTCTGTCGTGTTGTTGTCTTTGCGTGTAACGGAGGCTTGGTAGATTACTGATGGTTGCAGGCAGTTTCCGTCGAGCGGGCATGTGTTCTTTTGTCGGCAGTTGCATGTCTTGTTGTTATCAATGGTAGTGGCGGTGGCGGCGGTGTCATCAGACTGTATAGATGCTGTTAGGATGCGTTTGTTATGGTTGTCGATTATCTGTTTCGTGTTGTTCATGCAGCTGTAACTGATTTTGATGGTGTTTCGGTTAAAGATTTTTCTGAGCTTGTGATCTTTGGGAAAGTGCTTGTCTACTAGGGCGAGGAATTTGTGTCCGATGTTGGTGCTGGTGTTCTTGCTAAAAGGAGGGTTGTACCAGAGGATGTTATTGCGTTGTCGGTTTTTCCGTTTGCTTGTTTTGGCTGGTTCGTACTTTAGGGTGTAGTGGTATCCACTTTCGTCGAGTGCTTTCTGGTATGGGGG